CTTCTTTAACACAACTCAGGAGCTTTGGGTGGAAGCATGGATGCCCAGTCAAAGATTATACATCCCAGCATCCCTTGCACGTGGTGTGGTCATGTGGGATGTGAGTGGAAGTGATATGAGCCAGTGATTCACTGACATGTATTGTGTGTGTGGGTTTCAGAGTCTGATCCATTCACAGAAGGGCCTGCACAGCCTTGCTCTAGCCCGAGGGACCCATTTTACAGTAAAGGAGGTGGTGGCAGTGAGCCCATGGCCTTTGGAGCCACTGGCCTGTAACATATACCGCACCACCCAGGAGCTGCTGGCCTGACAGCAATGAAACTGCTTTCAGCTCAGAGTTGATAACCTGCAAGGACGGGGTGCCATCCTTTAGGATGTAGTGTACACCCTACGCAGTGCAGTGTCCCCTCTGAGTAAAGACATGGGTGTGGGAACCAGGGGTGCAAGTAGGAGTGGCCCTGCTTACCATCACTCTCAGGGGGGTATGTTTTCTATTCTCACAATTCCAGCCTCTTCTAGAGGTCCCAAATCCCAGAGTGGGAATGCTTCCAGAAAGGGACGCAGGACGATTCTCATTAAACTTTAAGTTATGGCTGCTGCCTGAAGGCTCGTTGTGCCAAGAGACTAACAGGCAAGGAAAGGAGTCTCCTCCCGACCATCAGAGGAGGCAGGGATGCTACTGCAGAGCGGGAGCGGGGAAGAATACTTAAGGCACCTACATGAACCACTGGCATCTCTCTGCCCAATTTTGATGGTATGTGGACAAGCACAGCAACCATGGCCTGAGAAGGGCATGACGACCAGGGGCTCTGAAGCCTCTAGGATGCGAGTCTGGGTCAATCCACCAGGTAACTCACCTAGAACAGCAGAGGTGCTACCAGGGGGAGGGAATCTGTGATGGGTAATAGCAGAGGGACAGGATGAGTGACTGCTGTGGCTCCAAGATCACATCAATCTTCCTCGTGTAAGCTTCCCCAGAGAAGGGACCAACCAGAATCCTGGAGACACTCTTCCCAGATGGGTGGACTGATGTGAAGCCCGTACATCAGTGATGAGAGCAGCTGCTGCGGCACGCTGCCCAGATTCCCCCTGCAGGACCGAGGCTCCATTTCCCTCAGACACTGGGAGTGTTGGCTGCAGATGGCTCAGAGGTTTGTCACTCCGTGGGAAGTGCCCTCGGCTGAGGGGTGCTTCCTCTCCCCAGACCATGCGCCCCTCCCAGGGGGCAGCCCACATTCAATGACTGGTCTATGCAGCGGTACAGAGACTCCACCGCTCGTCTCAATTCAAGACATCTCAGAGGTCCACGCCTTGGGGTAGCCGGATGCTCCATTACAGCCCATCACAGTTCAGCCTCTCTTCCCTGGTAAGCCACCTGCACGCAAATATCTGTCTCACCTTCTGCTTCCTGGGGAACCCAACCCGCATCACAAATCTAGCCATGCTAAGTACTTACCTGGTACCCAGCCCTCCAGTTTTCTCATCTCCTTGCTTCAGCAATGATGTTCCTTCTACCTGGAAGACTCCTACATTTGTCCTATCACACCTACTCAGCCCTAAATGACAGTCACAAATCTTATCAGTCGTCCCGACTCCTTCAAGCTTCTCCGTGGACACTGTTCATTCATTGTTGCATCATTTCTATTCCCCTTTTCCAACAAGAGTCTGAAGTAGCTCAGTGCATACCAGAGTTAAGAACTCTGTAATTATATTCTTATGTATTATAAATCACTTTATACATGTAAAAAGTCATAAAGAATATAACAAACACCTGAATACACTCCATCTGCCTTAAGGAATAAAGCATAGGGGCCAGCCTGGTGGCGTAGCAGTTAAGTTAGCACGCTCCACTTTGGTGGTCCAGGGTTGGCAGGTTTGGATCCCGGGTGTGGACGGATGTACCACTTGTCAAGCCATGCTGTGGCGGTGTCCCATATAAAGTAGAAGAAGATGGGCATGGATGTTAGCCCAGGGCCAGTCTTCCTCAGCAAAAAAAAGAAAGAAATAAAGCATAATACAATTGAACCACTGTAAATTTCTTACTGATCAAACTCCCCACCAATACCCAAAGGCAACCACTCTCCTGAATTTACCTTTTAGCACTCTTTTATCTAAAAATAAATGGAATTAAATGGTATCATACCATGTGCATTCACATTCAACTTTTTTTCACTCAACATTGTTTGTGAAATTCACTTATGTTGATAAATGTAACTAACTTATTCATCTACTGCCATATAGCATTCTATGGGATAACTATGTGTAACTTACCACGTCTCCTGTAGATGATGTTTGACTGTGTCCTCTCCCACACTGGGAGCAATGTTGCAATGAACATTCCTGTCTTTGTACACAGGCAAGTTGCTCTAGGGTACACACCAAGAGTGGAATTGCTAGGTTGTCAGGTATATGCATCTTTAACTACTAGAAACTGCCAAATGGCCGTCCAAAGTTATTGAATCAATTTACACTCCCATCAGCAGTGAATCAGAGTCCTGCACTGCTCACAAATCTACATCCTCACCAATTTTGGCACTGATAGATTTTTAAATTTTTTGCCAATCTGTTCAGTGTGAAATGGTATGTCCTTGGTTTTAATTTCCATTAGCCTGAACCTTAGTGAAAGTACACCTCTGTGTCTGCTGCTCAGTAATTCTTTGCTGTACAAATGAATGAAAAAGGCTCCACTCATCATTCTCTGCTCATGCATCTCCGTTTCATTCCTGCACAGGTCCCTTTCGAGACTACAAATGCAGTACCTTGGCCTTCACACCTGGCCTTCTACCAGACACTCCTTCCACATCCCATGGCTATCATGCCCCCTGGCCAAAATCCATTTCTGAGGATTGTCTCCACCTTGGCTTTGTTTTTTGATTAAGTTGCTTATGACGCTGACCTATCCCTGACCACTCATTCTGTGACTCTGCCCTGGCCCGTGTCCACTTGTCTGACCCTGTCTCCTCATCTAGAGACTAATACGATCTCTAACTTAGTGTTTGGCTGAAGCCTCACATCTGTGACCTTGAACCCAGTGTGTCCTAAACCAGTCATAAACCTAGGCGGCAAACAGGCTCCCTCCTTGCGTTCATGCTTCTGTTGGTGATACTAGTACTCCTTTGCTCAGCCAGTCTTGAAGCTTTCAAGTCAATCTTAGTCTCAGTCTCACTCCTTCCCCTAAGAAACAGTAGACAGGAAAGCACATGGTACGTTATAGGGAGCAAACAAACCTAAGATGTCATAATTACAACCAGTCACTAACGGCTGTTAATTTTTCCTTTGTAAACTCTTTCTACTTTGGAAACTCTTTCATCTTAGTCCTGCTGTCACCTCACTCACTGATTCTCGCAGTAAGCCAGACTGAGCTGGGGAGAACTCCCCAAGTCCCCATTGCTGTCTGTAGGGAATCCCTGAGGCTGGCAGGAACGCATCTCTGAAGAGGAGCTCTGGGGAGGCCTCGAGGCTGTACATCGGGAAGAGATCCCTGGGGCCTTCCTGAGCTCCACTAGGAGAGGATCCCAGGAGACCTCCTGAGGCTCTGTCAGGAAGGGGTCCTTAAGGATCCAGTGAGGCTTTCTCAGGAGAACTCTGAAGATTCCCTGAGGTCAGGTAAGGACTGGATTCCAGGAGAGTTCATAAGCCTATGCAGCAAAGGAGCCCTGAGGATCTACTGAGGATGTGTCAGTCACCACGGGGTCACCAAGGATCTTTTGAGATTGCCAGGGAGGAGACTCCTGGAGAGTTTCTATGTCTGCGACAAAAGCGGATCCCTGGAGAATTCCCATGGGTGTCACCCATTTAACAAACACTTATACAGAGCTGACTGCATCAGATGCGGAGGCAGAAGACATAGGTCCCACCTGCAGTATTTTACAAGCCATGTATGTGAAGCCAGATATGATCAAAATGCAGCCGGGTAAATGTTGCAGGCTGGGTACAAGGAACTGTGGAAAGCCTTGCTGTTACAAGACAGGGTCTAAAACTTGGCGTCATGAGAGCTGAGAGAGCCATTCCCTCTGCTCTTTGAGAAGGGGGTAGTCTTTACTGAGGGGATGGTTGGCACATGATCGAGATAATGCATACAAAACACCTAGTGCAGTACGTTGCGTAAGCAAGTACTAAGTCAATTTACTTATCATCAGTAAGTGAGAGGGCACGGAAAAACTTTAATCAGAAAATATAATCAAATTTTTGTTTCATAAGAGAACTGGCAGAGGTGTGAAGGAGCTCTCAAAAGTCGTCCTGCAGATCCAGTGCGAAATGCCCGTCCCCGACGGCTCAGTCTTTGGTATACGGCCCATAGCAAGTTAATGCAAACCACGTATTTAATTTCACATTTTCCGGTAGCCACATTAAAAAAAAAAAAGGAAAAAGAAATGTAAAAATAACTTTTATTGAACCCAATATACCCCAAATACTATTTCAACATGTAACCAAAATAAAACTTATTAACGTCGTCATTTTTTATTTCGCACTAAGCCTGTGAAATCCTGTGTGTCTTTCACACGCACAGGACACGACAGGCACGTCCCAAGCGCGACGCCGGCTGTGGTCAGCGCTCAGGCCAGGGCAACCTCACGCCTCCGGCGCAACTCCTGTTCAGCTGCCCCTGGCCTCACGCTGCTGTCCCCGCCCCTCTCACATGCCCCGTGTCCCTTTAGTCACGGCGCTCACCTCGCTGCCTGCTGAGTATGTCATCGCCGGTATTTACCGGTCCCCACCAGCGCGGCGACACGGCCTCGACTGCCGCCCGAGCAGGGTGCCTGCCGGTGTCCGCGTCGCCCTGCCCGCGGGTCAGGACCCCTGTCGGGCCGCTTTGCCCGGTGAGAGAAACCGGAGCCGGACACCGTGCCGGAGCCGCCGCCGAGGCCCAGGCGCTCCACTACACGAGCAGACCCAAGCGCGATTCCCCCGCCGCTCCGCCCCCGCGTCGCCCTTTAATGCCGAAGGGCGCCCGCGCCGTGCGTCGGGCACGCCTGGGACGGAGGCGGGACTTCCGGGCGTGCGGAGGCACAACTTCCGGAGGGAGGCGGAAGAGCGTCTCGGCTTTACGCTCCGAGGTCCCGGGACCACTGAGAGGCCACCTGGGGTAGAGGCAAGGGTCGGCGGGGCGGGCCGGCCGCACTCGGGGTGTCGGAGCCGCGGGTCTGAGGGATGAGGAGGCGCCATGGCCAGCGACGGGGCCAGGAAGCAGTTCTGGAAGCGCAGCAACAGCAAAGTCCCGGGCAGGTGGGTGTGACGGGGAGGGCCGGGTCGGGGTCAGGGGGCAGAGGTCAAGTGGCCACGTCTGCCCGCTGAGCTGCGGGTGGAGTCAGGGTCTGGGGAGGGGTAACCTGGGGTCTAGGGCGAATGCTCGGGGGTGTGAGGGGCGTTGGGGAGTGGGGGCCGGAGCGTGGGGTCTCGGAGGTGACAGTGGCTGCGCGTGGGAGTGAGGCTAGAAAGGAGGGGGAGGAGCGGCCGGCAGGTTGTCCTGAGACCGCAGGCTCTAGTCTGCGAGACTCTTCGGCTCCCTGGGGAAGCTGAAAGGAACTGATGCGAAGAGTTTGGTGGAGTCAGGTGGAGTCAGGCCGGGGCGGGCTGCGCCTGCATGGGAGATCGGTGTGTGCAGGGGGCGTGGTGGTTTTGACCCGCTTGGTTGGCCTCTGTCTCTCTTGTGGGCTGCTACTTTGCCTTGCGCAAGGGAGAGGATTTGAGGCTTCCAGTGAATTTCCATGTTCCCGCTTTCAGGCCTCAAAACCAACTCCTATCTTGAGTTAGCAGCAGGAAGCAAATTAAATTTTTTTTTTTTTTTTAAATTAACTGCCAGCAATGACCTGGGTGCACCCTGGAAGCTGTACAGCTCCAAGTCCTCATCCGATTGGTGTGTCACCCAGCCCCGGCCAGGGCCCTAGGGAATGTGGAGACGTTATGTGGAAAATATCTAGGATAAAATCAGCTGCTGGTGAAAATAGATTAGAAATAAACAAACTTCAAAATTTGTAAACATAGTCTGTTCTCTGCAGAAACTAAAGTGTGAGATACTGAAAATTAAAAATTGTGATATTAAAATAGTTCCGAGTAGAATTATTCATAAGCACTGCTTATTCATAAGTGTTGCCTAATAATACTATTGTTTGAATGATAGAGTTGCAAACTTTGGAATTCACTGTGTCCGGTCAGAAACGTTTAATTTTAAGAGTGATCTGGGAGTGAGCAGAAGTCAGTTACTGACTGCTCAGACACAGTGGCTTTGGAGGGGGTCACCAAAGGTGGCCAGAGACCTTATTTGACTCCTCAGGATTGTGCCAGATTGAAGAACAATAAGAACTTTCATCAAAACCAATGTCAGGATCCAAGATGATGTGGAAGTTCTGGAATGGTGGAGAATAGGAGGTCCTAGTAGTGACAGGGACCAGTGCTCTAGAATGTAGACCCCAGGGAGAAGGAGCCACGTGGCAGTAGAACTTTTGTGTGTTGCTTTTTGGTTTTGAGGTTTTGATTTCTTCTCATTTCAGGTGAACTCTGATTATTAACAATGAACTGAGCTATAAGAATAATTGAGCTTCTTTGTGTAGTTGCAACGGTGAATGAACCTTTAGATTAATGACTGTGTCTCTTGGTAATTTGTCCTTGTGTTGGATTCAATAGTGTCCCTCCCAGAATTCATGTCTATCCAGAATCTGTGAATGTGACTTTTGGAAATAGGGTCTTTGCAGATGTAATCAAGTTAAAATGAGGTCATACTGGATTAGGGTGAGCCCTAGTCCCGTAACTCGTGTCCTTAAATAAGAGAGAAATTTGGGCAGAGAGAGAGAGACGTAGGGAAGATGGCAGGTGAAGATGGAGGTAGAGATTAGAGCAATGCGTTTACAAGCCAAGGATTCCTGACAACCAGTAGAAGCTAGAAGAGGCAAGGAAGGATCCTCCCCTAGAGACTTGAGAAAGAGCATGGCCTACTGACACCTTGATTTTGGACTTCTAGTCTTCAGAACTGTGAGAGGATAAATTCCTGTTGTTTAAGCCACTAAGTTTGTGGTAATTTGTTATGGCAGCCACAGAAACTGATATAGTCCTCAGCTTTCTTCTGTGAGATCCTCCATTACCAAAGACAGACTTTCTTTTTCCTTTGATTTTGATACTTTGCTGTGTCTTAGGCATTTTTGAAAGCAGCTCCTGTGTTTTAGTTACAGAACTGGAGTGGAGTCTTGGAGAACTGCCAGAGGCTGTCACTGCACAGGGCAGGGCAAAGAGGAGAGGGTGGGCCCCCCAGGAAGACCAGCACAGCTGCTGTGTCCCTTGCCTCCTGTGGCCTTGCCTCTGGCAGTGCTGCGGTTTCAGGCGACGGGAGGAGTTGCAAAGGTATGACCCTGTTCCTATCAGCAGATCACCTCCCTTGGTGATCACTAGCCACATACTGACACCAACACAGAGCTCTCAGAGATGCCAGCCAGGGTCCTGTGGCTTTGCCAGCCCTTTCAGGTCGCTCTCATGGTTGTTTAACTCTTTTTTGAGTGCAGACCTCAACCTAGAGAAACTGAAAGGAGAAAGAATATACCCACCACAAAATACAGAACTGTTAAGGAATCTTTTATATACCCCAACTCTTAATATTTCCTTAATAATAATTCCCTCGTAATACTTTCTTATGACAACGGTGGCTCGTAGGCGTTGAGCACTTACAATTTGCCACCCTCTGTTCCTGGTGTTCTACAAGTGTTATGTCTCCCTACTGTTTTAGAGTTTATAAAACTCGTGCTCTGTGCTCCATGCGAAACTCACTGAGGTAGGTTAGGGTTGAAGCCCCTGCTTGTTTCCCCTGAAATGCCGTGCTGAGAAGCCTAAGTGTTTTTGCATGATGTCTGAGGCCCTCTATGACCTGACCCCTGCTCACTTTGTAGCCACTCTCCTGCCTTGCTTTGAACTTTGCCCTCAGCAGTGCTGGCGGACTTGTAGGTTCCTTGCTGTACATGCTATATGATGCCTCTGTCAGTTTCATGCTCTCATAGCTTACTGGAATGTTCTTTCCTTCCCTTTTCTCCCATCTTTGCCTGGCTCATTTATTTATTTTTTTTAAATTTTCAAAATTTGTCTCCAGTGTACTTCCTTGTAAAGCCTTGCCTGCATTCATGCAGTCTGGAGGAAAGTACCCTTTCATGCATCGGACTCAGTGTTGTTGGTCTGTGCTTGTTTTCTTCACTAGACAGACAGCTCTGCAAGTTTGGGGACTGTGTCTTACCTGTGCACTCTTAGTGCTGATAAATGGTGGTTGATCCCAACTACCTTCCAGACTCACCTAGAGGGGATAAGTGATTTGGCCAAGGTCTCACACTGCATGAGAGGTGGTCTTGCTAGTAGACCCCCCTGTTCTCTGCACACTTGGTCCTTAGGTTGTATGTTTGGCTGATGCTTTCTTAGAAATTTCTTTTCTGGATGAGGCAGGATGTGTGGTATGATGGAAAGACCTCTGACTAGGAGTTAGGTGGACCAGTTAAGCCTTCTTCTTCTATTAGTCACTGTGTGACGTTCACCAGGTCTTGTTGCCCCTGGGGCCATCGGTTTCTGCAAGTGTAACCCCAGGGAGTTGCATTAGACTGAGTTGGCTGGGACTTGCAGGAGGATGTTTGTTTGGCCTAGCCCAATTCTCTTTGATGAGAATGAGAGAAGGCCTCTTGGACCAGTTTTGAGAGTTTGATAATTCATTCAAATATTTATTTAACCCCTACTCTGTGCCAGTAACAGTTCCAGGTGCTAGAGACACATCAGTGATCAAAATAGACCCAAATCTTTGCTCACAGAGCTCACAGGGGAGTGGGAGAGGCAGAGAAGGAGAACAGAACCAAGTTAACGAGGGAGTTAACTGTTAGAAGGCCATAACTGCTGTCCAAACAGAAAGCAGGAAAGTGGGGTAGACAGTTCGGATGCAGGTGTGGGGGGGCAGGTTCCCTGGTGACAAGGTGGCCAGAGAACACCTCACAGAGGAGGTGACATTTGAGCAAGATTTGCAGGAGGTGAAGGAACAGGCCCCCCGGGGGGCTGGTAGGAGGGTGGTCCAGGCAGAGGGCGAGCAAGTGCCAAGGCCTGGGTTTGGGAGCGATGCTGGTGTGTTTGAGAAGAAAACAAAGGGTTGTGACTATAGCCGAGGAAGGGAGAGAGAGGCATGGGCACGAGGTCTGAAAGGTGGTGGAGGTGGGCCTAGTGGTCACAGTCAAGACAGGGACTTTCAGTCATTTATTCTGAGTGAAGGTGGGAGCCTTTGGAGGATCCTTGGCAGAGGAGAGGACGACCTACCTTCAGTTTAGCAGGATTACTTTGGCTGCTGTATTGAAAGTGGATTGGGGGCTGAGAGGGCAAGGGTGGAAGCAGGGGGACCAGTTAGGAGGCTGTTGGGAACATCCAGGTGAGAGATGATGATGGCTTGATAAGAATCAGAAAAGCTTCCATCTCTGCCTCCCTGGGGCCTGTTCTTTCTTGGGCCATTGACTTGCTTGGCTCCCGAGGGGCTGTTGCTTTCTGCAGTTGGAGTTGGCGTTCTTGCCACACTTAACTCTAAATGCCGAGACGAAATCATAGCACACGGGTGTGAGAACACAGGCAGCCTTTCAGTGTGGATCCGATGCTTGCTATTTTAGCACAGCTCTGCCTGGCAGCGTGCTCTGCTGACAGAAGGGTATGCAGGCAGCTGGGCCATGTGAAGGATGACATTCGTAAGTGGGATGGCCGCAAGAGAGGCTCAAATTGAATATGGCAAGGCTGTGGGTGCTTGGGCTGGAGCTGGAGCAGAAGTGCCGTGGCTCTCACAGTTTTCATCTTACAGCTGTCAGATCCACAAGGAGTCTCTGAGCAAACTAGACGGTTAACTCAACTGTCGTCTCAACAGGCCACCATCACTCATCAGCTGAAGGAGAGGAATTGCTGGGGGATAATTCATTCGTTCAGAAAACACTTGGGAGCATCTTCCATGTGCCAGGGACTGGGCTGAATGCTGAGCTAAGAGATGAGGCCCTCAGAGGCCACTGGGGTGAGGGAGACAGTAAACACACAAATACGTAAACAGTCTGAAGTGCTCTGAAGGTCATAACCTGGGAATGTTGGCAGAATAACAGGGCACTACATCAGTAGAAGGTCATGTCCTCCCATAGGAGGTCACGCCTAAGCTGAGACCTGGAGGTGGAGAAGGAGCCGGCCTGCCACACAGAGATGTGGGCTGGGGGTGTCAGAGCACTCCTGGGAGGAGAGACACGAGGCAAGAA